ATTCTCATCCTGTTTAAGCCTCAGTTTCTCTATCTATGGAATGAATGTCTATCCTATAGGGTTATTTGGAGGATTGAATAAGATGATAGCATTTAATACCGAGCTGGCACGTGAGGGCAAGGATTATTATTTGTTTTGTTATCTAGCATATCCTAAGAACCTAGAACAGTGCCTGGACCATCATAGTTATTTAACAAATAGTCATTAAATATATGAATGTCTGATTACCTAGATTAGCTCTGATATTGGGAATAATTTCACCTATCATTAATCAGGGGAGTGGCTGAATTTCTGTTTCTCAACATACAAACAGTATCACTAAATCATGCTCAAAGTTTGTGTAGTTCATTCTTTTGCCTTCAACATGACTTCACTAAACCACCAAACCATCAAGACAAGCGTCTCATTCTATCCTTAATATTTTCCTCAGGAGGGCTGCCTAATCTTCATAGAACCAAAAAACTCTTCCCTCTTCTGGCTATGAAAACTAACTGCTTCTGCATCTGCCCCTCTCTTACCCTTCCCTACCTCTGGCAGTTTCTTATTTGTTGTCCCTTTAGACTACTCGGTATTGTCTCCATTTTTCTCCAACTTACCAAACTCATATTGAGTACCAATCCATATGTTTTGTTCCCACAAACCAGTGGGGACTGCTAGATGCCGTAATGCAGCCAGCAGTCATGAAGCATCTCATCTCAGGATAAAACTTAAGGTCAGCCCCACAGCCAATGTATTGCCTGCAGATGGGATTCTGGTCAGATTGAGTTCCATTTGGAAAGAGTTCTCTCCATTAACATTATTTTCTTTTAGAGTGTCCAGAAATGGATTCTGTCTTGTCTGTTAGGGGGGAAATATTCACATGCAAGATGACTAGTGTTTTAAACTATTCTCTATTTTGCTTTAATAGAAGATATGTTCTTTGTCATGTGAATCAGTGAAAAATGGCAAAAAAGTATTTAATATTTTAATTAGTCTTTCTTTCTCTTTGAGATGTCTAAGATAGTGTTAGTAGCCTCATTTCAAAACATTTTTAGTTGCAACTAGTTTTAATAGCATCCACGTTTTCTTTCCTAATTAGAACCAAAATGCCCAAATATAAACTCTCAAGCTGCTATTGTTATTAGTCCTGGCTTATTTGTTTGGTGGTAAAATGGAATATACTAACAGTAAACATATCATAATGGTGCGGGAAGAGTTATAAAGAAAGAACTGAAATTTTCATCTAAATAAGTGTTCTTTCCTGGTATGTGACATATAATAAAAACAGTAACATCTCAGGTGACAGAAATTTTCCTACTTTACTTAAAAATTATTAAAATAATATAACAATTGTGTTATTTTTAACTAAAATATTTCTGACTTTACATACAGAAAAGATGAATATTTGATTCCTAAATATATAATAGGCAAGTTGTCTTTGCAAAAAATAGGCCAACAAAAGAAAGCACAGATTTCATTCAAATTGAGATTCTGGTGCCTACTTCGCCAACCTAGAGAATTACTTACAATGAAACTAAAAGAGGCTGTCCTTTCTGCAGTGAGTTCATAAGAGAATGGTTGATATCACTAGGAAAAGTCTCAGATCCTATTCCACTTGTTCTGCCACTATACAGAAATCTGTAGCCATGAGAACCCCAATCTCTAGGACAGAAATGTACATTTGACACCAAAAAAAATTAAGAATGTTTTTGGAAAATAGAAAGACTAAAGGAATAATGCTGCTGGAAATTAAAATGCATAATTTTGACTAAAACACTAAAAAATATATTAGTCAATAATAACTGGGATAGAGATGAGAGATGGAAGAGAGATATTTTTGGTGCACCGATGAAGAGGAAAGGGCATTAACTGGAGTAATTTGCTGTGATGGGCAGTCCCAATTGAACTATTTTGGTAGGAAATTGTTAGCAGTTACCAGAGGATACCTTGCCCAGTGGTGGGTGAAATGAGAAGACCACCCTCAAAGTGAAGGCTTAGGAAGCCCTTGAAGTCACTTACCCTGTTGTTACACGTTAGGTGTTATAGCCACTCATTATTTAATTTGAGGAGCATTAATTATTTGGTTTGAAGGTCCAAACTGAGCACTTAATTGTAAATTCACAATTTCAGCTTGAAATTGAAAACCGATGGTCTTTGCAGGTAAAGGTGTCAAGAGTGCCAGACTGCAAGAATGGTTGTCTCTGTGTAGCTTGGAGGCCCTTATTCCCTGTATGTAAGAGGTTTTTATGGGGAACAAATATGTTATATTGATCTTATGTTAAGAGATTTCAAAGGCCAGAAGGCACAGTTGTGAATTTTAAGACTATATTGTTTTTTTCTAATACATTTGTAGTTTGCACTCATATAATAAACAATGAACAAATTAGCTTAGAAATTTAGTGTTTGAGTTTTTTCTTGACTCACCCAAGAACTATCCAGAAACTCACTTGAAAGAAACATTGTACTCCAATAATTTTGTGATAAATGAAAGGGAATGATTTCTATTTCTCACTTTTTTATATTTGATAAAAATCTTCAGATTTCTTTAATTAGGAGAAGACCCTTTAGTGGATTATTATTTCATAAATATTTTTAAAATTTTCATTCTAATTTCAGTCTAACATTTGGCGGGGATACTGTTGGATAACCAGGGATGGAACTGCACTTATGGATCATATCCACCTGCTCCTCCCTCTCAAGGAATGTTTTCCCCAACATAAATGGATTTGATTAAAAAAGAAAGGTAAGTTCTTATTAGCAGGATCAAGCAAATGTATTATCAGAGGAAGCACCAGTCTCTGATGTGATATCAAAAGGTACATAGATGGATCACTAAATTATCACTCTCATTAAGAAATTTCTGGCATTCCTCTTCAGAAGAAATATCTAAATACAAATGTGTCATGCTTATTGATTAACCACATAATAGATTTATTAATATCTTGCTGCTAGTTTGTCTTGCATTTAAGCATTTATTTTTATTAGTAGGTTTGAATCAAACTAAATTTTGAAATGCTGCCTACTGCAGGAATTCACTTAGGTACACAGATGCCTTTTTCAGCTCTATGCATTTTGTTTTCATGGCACCATTGATTACTACAGCAGATTAACTCCTGGAACATTCATTGAGTTAAAATTTTTATTATTTTGTTTAATTATAGTTTGCTTTGAACTAAGCTAAAAATCTGCCTTTGTTAAAGAGGAGAACTTGTTCATATCTCACTTTAGCTACAAAGTCATTTTTATCAAAGAGATGGTGGCTATTTGGTAATTGTTAGGGCTCAAACTCCTGACCTCGTGCTCTGCCCAACTCAGCCTGCCAAACTGCTGGGATTTACAGGCATGAGAAACCGTGCCTGGCCCAGTTACTGTATAATTTCAAGTTATTTCTGTTCTTTTGGTGTCCAGTACTGCATGTTCTAAACTCCAAAATGTGGAATGATGATGTCTGGTCAAGTGAACATTAGATTTTCTAAATGAGATGCTTATAATTCTTGGGCATGTGGCTCTGGGAGCTAAGATACACAGTTGGTAGTTTGGTGATTAAAAAAAAAATTCCATACAGCTGGTAGTTCGGTGATTAAAATAAAATTCATTTATCCACTAAATTATAAATTTATACTTCTATCTGGAAGAATGATGTACCATAGCTGTCATTCTTGTAACATCTACACTTACATCAGAAAATGATAGGAATATTTCAATAAAAGTCTCTATTTGCCTCAATAATCTAGATAGTTCTGAAAAACAGAATCATCTGAATTCCCTAATTCCCTTCTTCACTGCCTTTTCTTTTGGAGAGTGGATTCTGTTCGAAATAGTAATTGTAGGACAGTCTATAGTGTAAAACAGGGAGGAGTTTATTGCCTTCACCTCCCAGGAAGTTTTACACTGAGCTCAGGCAATCCAGCTACTTGGAAAACTGAAATAATTCATTACAAGAAATGTAACATTCCCTGTGTAATAATAACCTATTAAATAGATCCTTCTTTTCCAGTACAATTATGCTTAAGATTCTGCACATGTCCTACTCTGAATATTTATGCTTTCATATGTTTCATGCATCCTTTTACCCAAACTGGTCCTCCTAATAGCAAGTGGTATTGTATGTGTAAATTTTTTTCTCATCTATCTAAGGCTACATTGTTGTTGAGACAACTCTCATGGCAATGGGAATGTTTTACAAGCAAAAAGTTACAATATAATATTATTATGATAATGTAGAATAGAAACATTTTTTTAAAAATCTGTGAATCAGAACTTTAAGAATGAGAAAACATGAAAACAAAACGTGCCTCCACGGAGTTTCTATTAAGGGCACTTTGTGAAAGAAAGAGGGGTGGGATCTGGGGGGGGGCGGAGAGAGAGAGAATGAGAGAGGTACACTCTACTCTAAAACTATTATGAAGTCCATTATGAACTCAACTAGGAGTGAACACAGTGACTGAGTTATAAAATGACCCCAGTGACTTTTATTTAAGAGTGTTATTAAAATTACTCCAGCTTCATTGCCATTAACTTTGCTTCATAGTTCAATGGTACAATTCATGAGGTTATATTTTACTCAATGCCAAAAGGCTTTCAAACTTGGATTTTCCTTTTAATTACAATTGCAAGCTGATAAAAATGTATTTTTACATTTGTAAAAATAGAGTCTTATAGAACTTGCACTTCTATTGTTATCAGTATTACTCGCACTGGGATACAGTTTGGTGTCTCATTTCCCCAGTGGGTGATAACTCTTCTTTCACATGCATATTCTGATAGATCTAACACTCAAAAGTGCAGAACTCTCTAACACAGTGGAAACCCTAAAGGTGCCTATGTGGCGTCAGAACTCATTGTAACCTTCATAATGTTAATAAAGCATTTCATTAATAACCAAGGTTGACCGTCAAAATCCAGCAAGCAGCCTGACTATTCTAATTTGATTACTTTATAATGGATGTTAGCTTAATGAGTTGACAATGAGTACAGATATCTGGAGATTAAAAGGTTTTCTTAGCAAAAAAAACAAAAACAAAAAACAAAAAAACAGATTCTGTATGATTCATGGAAGAAATTTATGAAGGAATCATACATATCTGCCAGGTTAGGTGCCAGGTTAGATCAGGTAAAGAAAGTATGGAGATGATTAAATGGGAAAATATTTCATAAAAGTCTTTTGCTTCTATTAAAAAACCAAGTCAGGAGCTCATGTTAGTGTTTTAATTCAAAATGTAAATGGTAAATGTACTTGAAGTATTACAGATAAACAGGACTCTCTTGCATCTCCTGTGTTTATTTGGTAATGAATAGTAGATAATCTCTATGATAGGAAAAGCTGAATGATATGTGATAATTTCATTCAACAAGGAAATATTCATTATTAGGTGGTAACCATACAGAAATGACAATGACATGATCCCAAATATATATTGCTTATGTTGATTTAGCTCCCAACATTTTATGTTATTTGTGAGTTAAACAGCAAAATTTAGTGAAATTACAGAACTTATCAAGTGTAAAATAAAGCAGTGTGGTTAGCCAGGATTTTGTCATATAGGCACTATATGTAGAATATTGGTTTCAGTAGACTTGTCTTCCTCTAAATTCACTCATGACTTGCACTGGATGGATTTTTTTCTTTGCTGAGCCTCGTCTGACAGCTGCACATGTTTCCTCTGGCTTCTCTCTTTTAATCAAGGGTTTTTTTGCAGGAGCCTTCATTCTCCACATCACAACTGGGTGCCGGGGCCCGGCAGGACTCTGGATTCGGATGATCTTCGTTGAGGCAATGTAAGACATTTTCACTGTTTGCACCACAGCATTCATTAAATTTTTAGCTGCTTGGATCAGGGAGGTGACACTGTCCAACTGTAGCGGGGGGAAAAAGAAGAAAGAAAAAAGAGCTATTATTCCAGAATGCAATTAAGAATTTAAAGAGATGTAATGTTATAGAAGCTAAAGAATTCCACCTTGCTTTAACCCCAGGAATGAATGGATCATTTTTTTTACATAACCATGTATAATTATCAATCAATACATCTATTTTTGATCATTTTCTATTTATCTGATACATCAATGGATCCACAATCTATCTTCTAAGATAATATCATAGAGAGATTAATTTCTTTCTCTTGGCTTTCAGTGATATCATATAAATTCTTCAGGGCCCCAATCCACATAATACTACAAGGTCAGATGGTCATGATTTTCTTTGTAATGGATCTTTCTATTTCTAGGAGAGAATCCTGAGCTCTTTCTGTAAGACAGGATTATCTGCAATAAAATCTATAAATAATTTTATACAAACAACAATTGAGAATTATCCTTAGGGAATAGTTTAAGATAATGGGGCTCTATAGTCAAATGAAATTGAGTTTAAATTCAGATCTGCAATTTGGAGAAATAATTTAACCATTTTTGCCCTAGTTTTTTTCACTATTAAAAAGAAAAAGTTTATTAAAGGAAAAGTAATGCATGTAAATAAACTAATAGGGTAACTGCCAAATAGTTGATTTTAATTAAATATTATTTCCTTTTTTTGCTATGAAGACTGACAAAATCGCTTAATGATAAACATGCATTAGTGAGATTAAGAAAAATATTTTTCCACATGATTCTGTTTTTGTTAATATTTCTGGTTTGAGTATACAACCAACCCCAAGGAAAAATGAAGAGGTATTCCTAGAATCTTATAAAATACCTTAGAACTAAGCTAAGTTGATTTATTTTCTTTCTTTGGAGACCAAGTCTCGCTGTTGTCACCCGGGCTGGAGTGCAGTGGTGCTATCTTGTCTCATTGCCTCCTGGGTTCCAACAATTCTCCCACCTCAGCCTTCCAAGCAGCTGAGATTACAGGTGCCTGTCATCATGCCTGGCTAAGTTTTGTATTTTCAGTAGAGACGGGATTTCACCATGTTGGCCAGGCTTGTCTCAAACTGCTGACCTCAAGTGATCCACCTGCCTCAGCCTCCCAAAGTGCTGGGATAACAGACGTGAGCCACTGAGACCAGCCAGTTGGTTCATTTTTATACAACCAATGTCTCTTGCATTATTTTAGCTTGGCAGATTGTCATCCACCGCCAACTCACAGGCAGATTTGCCTCCACTGTCACCCCCCTGTGATGCGTGCTGTCAGGGTTGAGATTCAAACACTGGCGCTGTAGTTACTAAAATCCATCAGCAGCTGCCTGGCCTGAGTACTCTACCTTTGCTGTTTGAGGAGTCTTTTCTCACATAAGGATTAAATGAGCAGAGGAAAGGAGTAAGTTGAGGTTATGTGCCTGAGGCAGTGGTCTACCTGGCTGCTTCCAGGGAAAAAAATTTAATTAACTCCATTATATGCCAAATCTGAAATCCTTGAGAAGGTAACTGCAAAAATATGTAATGTGAAAGGGAATAATACTTGGCAACTGCACTTCTTTAAGTCTTTTTTACTTTTTGAAGCCAGAAATATAAAATCTGTGCATGTGGCAGGAATGACAAATGTTTTACAAACATTAAAAAGGATTTCATGAAGCACTCAAATGTATTTTGGAGGACATTTGGAGCTTCTGAATCTGTATGCAACTTAAAAACATACTAGACTTTGAATAGAACAACACATATTGTTATTAAATTACTCCACAGACAGATTGCAAGTTCAAATCTGTCTTTTAATAATTAACAAAACCTCCTGGAATCCAGGTTTTGCTGGGTTAATCATTATGGTAGGTTTCCAATCCCACCACAGAAATAAGCCAGTTTTTCTAAATGCGGTGATAAAAGGAATACTGTTGAGAATCTTTGGTAATGCCATTGCTCAAACATGGAAATACTGCATTTGTCCTAAGAGCTCTGCACCATCACAAAGTCATTTATGGAAGCAGGTCACAAGGACCTCCTGTCATTCAGGATTTCGCCAGTGACTTCGGTCTTATCCTAAAACTTACATTCTGCTTTCTTCCTTTTAACTCTGTAATTTTGCCATGTACACTTTGCATTTATTTCATCTCCTTTTGATTATTTTTTTAATTGTATTTGGGCTCTGGGTACATGTGCATGTCCTGCATCCTGCAGGATTGTTGCATAAGTACATACACGCAATGGTGGGTTTGCTGTCTCCATCACCCCCCCAACCCATTGCCTACCTCAGATATTTCTCCTGGTGTTACACCTCCCCTTCCTCCCTCCCCCCGCCCAGGTAGCCCCCCTCCACCCCCCAACCTATCCCTGTGAGTATTGTTCCCTTCCCT